AAACCAATCAAGCTGTTCAGCGCTGAAGGCACCAGAGGCTTGCTTGGGCGCGGTTTCGTGCCGGTGCGCCAGCCCGAAAGCACAGGTTCTCGATTGGGGGTTTAGGGTTTAGGGTTTAGGGTTTAGGGTTTAGGGTTTAGGGTTTAGGGTTTAGGGTTTAGGGTTCAGGGTTCAGGGTTTAGGGTTTAGGGTTTAGGGTTTAGGGTTTGCAGCTCACGAAGAATGGCATCAACCCTAAGCCTAAGCCCTAAGCCCACAAGCACCAAACTCTATGTATTGCTCCTGCTGGTTGTGTGTGGAGCACAGTGCTATATCCCTAAACCCTAAACCCTAAACCCTAAACCCTAAACCCTAAACCCTGTAGTCAAATCGTTTAGGGCTCTTGAAAGAGCAGCCGGGTCGACTAGACATGTGTACAGAGGCTTCAGGACTCCGAAGCTGCAGGGGTTTGGGGTTTAGGGTTTGGGGTTTAGGGTTTAGGGTTTCGGGTTTAGGGTTTAGGGCTCCCCCCCCCTCACCCTCGCCCTCCTCCAAAAAGTATCCCTTAGTGCGGGGTATACAAGGGTTGCCTGGATTACCGTGCCCAAACCCCTGGGAGGATCCAACAAGTAGATCCCCTTAAGGGTTCCTCAGAATTACCCAAAAGTAGCAAAGGGTACTACTTGGGGGTTCTACTTTTTGGATCCTCCCAGGGGTCTGGGCACTAACCCCCGCCCCCAAAAAGTCGGCCAGAAAGGGTTACCTTACTAAGGGCTCAGATCGGCTTTTGAAGCCCTCTTGTAGTATGCCAAGTCGCACCCGTTTAGGGTTTAGGGTTTCGGGGTTAGGTTTGAGGGTTTCGGGTTTAGGGTTTAGGGTCCCACAGCCCAAACCCGAGGTCGTCCACGGCGACGCCGTTTTGGATGAGTCGCACCCCTGACATTCCTTTTTGTGTACGATAATGAGGGACTTCTCATATAACCAAAACAATAGGATCCCCGAAGAATAAGGACCCAAAGTCTTGGAAACCCCCACATGGGCTCCGAAGGTGGGGCACCATACGCCCTATATTGCCATAGTCCCTATGACCGCAGTTCCCTTTTAGTTTGCTTAAGAACCCCCCCCCCCCCCCCGCCCCTTAAAAAAAAACACCTGAACAATATGCTTCCTTATGCGGGCATTATGAGTTGCTTTTTTTCACTTTTTGGAGGTCTTAAGCAAATGGTAGTCCACAACCCTTTTGGGGTTCATTTAGTCACTGACATGGTGTTGCTCGCCTCCATGAGGCAACGAGGAGGAGGCCATAGGGTGAATGGGACCTTGAGGGTTTTTTTTTGGGCATCTTGTGGTTTAGGGTTTAGGGCTTAGGGTTTAGGGCTTAGGGAGTTTAGGGCTTGCTGTTTTGAATTGTGGGCCCTTTTGGAAGAATATTTGAGATCCGTGGAGGGTGGGGGTTGAGGGGCCACGCGTGTAGCAGCCTCTCAACGCTACAACGCCCTTCAGATTCTTTCAGAGTAGAAAGGAGACCAAGAGAAGCACGACCCCGAACGGCCCAGCACCACGACCCAAGCAAAGTTCGGGCTTGGGGTTTAGGGTTTAGGGTTTAGGGTTTAGGGTTTAGGGTTTAGGGTTTAGGGTTTAGGGTTTAGGGTTTAGGGTTTAGGGTTTAGGGTTTAGGGTTCAGGGTTCAGGGTTCAGGGTTTAGGGTTTAGGGTTTGGAGCTCCAGACCACACATCCCAAGAGCGATGCCAGGCAGGGCGTGGCGATTCTCAGTGGAGATGTCTGGATGGTCAGGATCTCAAATCCAACAGCAACTTATTACAGGTTTAGGGTTTGTAGGGTTGGGGTTCAGGGGTTCATGGGACTACCTTTAAGGTTGCAACCTTGGGTTTGGGAACCCTTTATTAGGATCCTCTAAGGGAATATAAGAGCCATAGTCGTAGTCGGAGCAGATTAAAGGAATCTCCCAGGGGTACATCCACGGAAGTCCAAGTTAGACTCCCTTGAGGGGCTGCCACGTCAAGCTCCACACCGAACGACCAAAACCCTAAACCCTAAACCCTAAACCCTAAACCCTAAACCCTAAACCCTAAACCCTAAACCCTAAACCCCGCGCCTAAAAGTCCTGAACATGAAGCTCCCACAGTCCCCTACATCCGTCACCCTAAACCCTATAAATCCCTAAACCCTAAGTCCTCTGGGCTGCGTAACTTTGGGAAGGTCACAGCTGAGCGGCTCTGTACTGTATGTCTGTGTCCTGTCATCTTTTTCTTGTGCCCCCATTTGTCCTCGCGCCGAGTCCTTCGGTTAGAGGGCTTGCCTGTTTCCTCGCCCTCAGAAGTAGGAGTGACGCCCCTCCTGTGCCACCAGTGCAGCTGCTGTGTCATTCACCGTGCGGCGGTTAGGCTCCACACCGCCCTCAGAAGTAGGAGTGGCCTCCACTGCATTCCTGTCTCGGATTGGGTCTAACGGCAGGTGACCCTAAGTCCCCAAACCCTAAACCCCTAAACTTTAAACCCTTAACCCCCAGACCCCTAAACCCGAAAACCCTAAACCCTAAACTGGACCCCTACACTTCCTGGTTGTTAGGTAGAGCTCTGCCGGGAGTTGGGCGCTAAGTCCGCTGTGCCCGGGCCCTGGGGGAGTGGGGTGCATCTGCTTTAGGGCGTTCAGGTTTTTTGGGTTTTGAGGGGCGTTTAGTGCTTTTAGCATTTTAAGGGTTTTTGTTAAGGGGTTCTTGTTAATGGGTTTTTTGAGGGTCGTTGGTCATTTTGTGTTTTTTGAGGGTTGTTGGGGATTTTGTTTTCGGAGTTTAGGGTTTATGGGGTGATAGGGGTTAGTTCTAGGATTTATAGTACTTATAGGGTTAAAAGGGCTTACAGGACTTATATGGTCTGTAGGGTTATAGAAGTTATGGGGTTTGTACGGTTTAGGGTTTTGGGGTAAATGGGATTCTTAGGACAGGACAGGACAGGTCAGGTGTTTGGGTTTGGCGACTACACGTACTTGGACCAGCAGAGCGACAAGCCCAAACCAAAGAGACAAAGCAAATCCAAGTCGCCCACCTCCCGCTCACCCATCTGAAAAAAACACCAACAAAAATGCATCCATAGCGAGTGTGTGTGCCTACGGTCACATCGATCTACAAAGGTCCCGGCACATCCCTTGTCGAACAGGTAAAAAGCAGAAACATAGCAAGGATTGGTGTTGGCACGTGGCCAAAACACCGCCACAAGGGGATCGTGTCCCCCTGCTCCCTTCGGCTAGTCGTGCCAGCCGATCCCTTGACAGGCAAAATCCGACCACCCAGTCAACGGAGACCAAAAGTGAACATATCGACGCCTCCCCCGCCACGAACCCGCCTTTTCCGTAGAAGATGTCAACAGGCCCGATTTCGCCGATTCCGAACCAGCTGAAAACGACGACACACTCGCAACAGCATGTGAACAAACGAGTGAGGGTACTCTGGGGTGTGAAGTGACCACAAAAACCTCGAGAAGAACTTGACCGAGAGTATCGTCCGACAGCCCACCCAGGAAGCTGCCCGACACGACACCGCGAGAGAAGGTGGCGAAGGCACTCCACGAGCACCCCCCCCAACACCTTCCCCCGAACAAAAGAAACCCAATGGCACGGGACCGCCCACCAAACTGTAACCAACCAAAGTGACAAAGGTGACACCCCTCAGGGTATGGAGTTGGTCTCAGTAGGGGCACTACCTTACCCCTAGCTGAGTCCCTTCCCTCGCCCACGTGGAGGACTCCGCCACGGGGAAGTGGGATCATGGGATTCTTAGGGGAGGGGGGGGGGGGGGTAATGTAGCCCAAGGTTCCCTAGTGCCCCCCACTTCTCTCTCTAAGCTTCCCTAAGGTTTTATACCTCCGCTCCCCCATGAGCCCCCCTCCCAAAGCCTAAACCCTAAACCCTATAACGAACCCCCCACCCTTAAGAACCCTACAATTTATGGGGTTCAGGGTTGCTGTTGGTCCGGGGGTCTTGAAAATCTGAGGGCTGAATACTGCCGGATGCGCTTGTGGAAGGCTTAGGCAGGGCAACGCTAAACCTTTAAATCCAATGGAGATGGTAGGGTTTAGGGTTTTGGGTTTGGGGTTTTGGGGTTTGGGGTTTGTAGAAATTGTATAGGGTTTGGGTCCCAATAACGTTTCGAACGACAGTTTTGAACGAAACGTTTTGAGCGAAATGTGTTGGACGAAAGTGCAGTCTCACACTGCTGACGCCCGTACATACCTCCGCAGCTCCCCTCGCGTTGCAACATATCAGCTCCTTGCAACGAGGCCGGCACTGTCACCATCAACGAGGTGCTGCAGCGATTGTCGTAACAGGCCCGCGAGACCTGGTAGACTTCCATCCGCAAAGCGGTGGCGTTTGCGCTGCCGCGAGAAGGCAGTTGTTCAAACTGCAACCCTCGCGTTGCTCCTTTCAGTTGTGGGCCCGACTGTTCGAGCTGTGTCGTTTGCAGACAAAAGCAAAATCGTCAAAGCCGACGACAGTCCGCATTGACTCTGGGGACGACGAGATCCTGCACGCGGCATACCTCCGGGCAGAAGCGACGGAAAGCAGTGGATCCTACCCCTCACCACGAAGACACAGTAGAATTTGTTGCGCTTTCTCTTTCTCTTTCTCTTTCTCCTCTTTCTCTTTCTCCTCTTTCTCTTTCTCCTCTTTCTCTTTCTCCTCTTTCTCTTTCTCTTCTTTCTCTTTCTCTTCTTTCTCTTTCTCTTCTTTATCTTTCTCTTCTTTCTCTTTCTCTTCTTTCTCTTTCTCTTCTTTCTCTTTCTCTTCTTTCTCTTTCTCATTCTTATCGCTGCGAGCATGGCTACTAAGCGGCTACTACTACTGCCGCGATTACGACCATTGTTGTCAGTTTGTGTACTTGGAAGTCGTGCCTACAAGCCGTGTAGTTACTAGTACTTGGGCACCACGGATCTAAATGCAAGAATGAACAGCTTGTGGCTTTTTCGAGCTCAGCATCGTCGTCATCTTTATCGTCGCCATCGTTATGACTGTCATGACTTGCTCTGCCATCATCCTCGTACCTGCTACTACATGCTGTTATTACCCCTATTGCAGAAAATCACACACACACACACATGCCCGTAGCCCCAAATTCTAAACCCACTAACCCCTGAGCTCTGATGCCGACCTTCCCGCTGGGGAAGATCTCGAAAACTAGTTCATCCAGGTCGGAATTGCTTCTTCATGCCATTGCAACATTCCCCCAGACATCCCCTCCGAAGCATGCCATTCTGGAAATTTGAAATTTGTCGCATCGCGCGATGCAGTACAGTCGTTGTCTGAATGATATTTACGCACCGATGCGGCTGTGTTCCATGCAAATTAGTACACGTGGAATTCAGGTGTTTTACATCATGTTGAAGGTCGTGCTGATGTACCTCATTACTGCTATTGAAAATTCCTGTTTTAGGTCACGGTATGATGCGTATGTCAAATCGTTGAAATCAGATAAAAAAAGGTCGCCCTACACCAGGTGACGGCACTGTCTTGATACGGGATGAGGAGACCCTGAGCAAGTCCTGCCAGGATGGCCAGGATGGGGAGAAGGATGCTGAGCTCCGGGCCGAGGCGGCGGGTGTTGCTCAAGCGCTGCTTGTTGTGTGGCTGCAGCGGTTTCGGCTGGGCTGCGGCGCCTTGTAGCAGGCTCCATGCGCCGCGCCAGCTGAGGCCTGGCCCTCGGTGTTTTTTTGCAGTACACACTCGAACCTTCACTGTCCACGCGAAACTTAGGGCGCTACGCTGCTATCGGGAAAGTATATGGAGATGTCAATGTGCCGATCCGACAGTTTCAGCATTGTTTTGCAAGCATGTCTCGCAAGTTTTCAGCTTCAAGCAACGTGTTCTGCCCGCCAATCATCGCTGCAGCATCCGCCGTAGCCTCTCAGGCGCAGCTACAAGCTGCAGCACGTGTTAATTTGGCCACCTTTTCTTGCCCTAAATGCAATCAAGCAAGCTTTCTTCACCTTCGCCGCGCGACAATGCGACAAGCCGCAGCTCGTCGCCTAGTCGGCCTCCTATAGGTAGGTACTTCTGAGTGGGCGCATATTTTCTTGCAAGCTTGCGAACTCACGACAAGCTTTTCTCAGGACCACGATGGCTGCCACCGTCTACGTCGACCGCGCATTCTTCCAGGCCCTCTGTGCCCCAGCACCTCCAGTCCGTCGGCCTCAACCGCCATTGGACTTGTCAAAAATGGGCGCGAAAATGCTGGACACTTTCGTGCACCATGACCTGGCAGCGTTCGCTGGTCATTCTGAGGGCCAACAAGCCATTCTCCGCAAGTTGTGGTCGTTGCCGCAAGAGGAGCAGGCCCGTCTCTTGGAGACGGGACCGTACTTGGAACGGTCCTGGTGTGCTATGCTCGGCCGCTTTGAGATTTTGTAGATGTGCAAGTTGAGGGCTGTAGGGTTTGGGCCCACTAACGTTTTGAACGAAACGCGTGGAACGAAACGTTTTGACCGAAAGTTTTGCGTGTTTGGAATTTCGTATTCACTTTCCTGATATATTTTTTGGGGTTAAGAGTGCTGGAATAGAAAGTGTGTAGGGCGTGGGCCCCAATAACGTTTTGACCGACATGTTTTGACCGAAACGTTTTAGCCGAATCGCCATTTTGGGTCTTCTGATGGAGCCTTGGGCCTTCTGAAGCCAATCTGGGTCTTCTGATGCCAATTTGGGCCTTGCCTTCTAAAGCCAACTTCGGCCTTCTGAAGCCCATTTGGGCCTTGTGAAGCCCTGAAGCCAATTTGGGCCTTCTGAAGCCTATTCGGGCCTTCTGAAGCCAAGTTGGTCTTTCTGACAAGCCAATTTGGGCCTTCTGAAGCCACTTCGGGCCTTCTGAAGCCCATGTGGGCCTTTTCAAAAATAAGCCTTCCGAAGCCAATTTAGGCCCTCTGAAGCCATTTTGGGCCTTCTGAAGATACTTTGAAATTCTACGGGCGGGAAGGTCCCAGAGGTTTAAGTAAATTGAGCATTTGGCTTCCCAGGCGCTTTGGATTATTTTACTCAAACTCTGTTTGTGAGGTGTTTAGACAGTAATTATCTTGGGAAGTTCAGAATGATGCCACATACAATTTCTATGTATTTTGTCTTGAAGGTTTAGGGTTTAGCGTTTGGGGTTTAGGGTTTAGGGTATAGGAATTAGGGGTTTAGGGCTCCCGCCTGTGACGCGGGCACTGTTGCAGACCCAGGTTTGTCACAGATGTGGACGGAGTCTTCACGAAGCGGCTCGGATGGTCCAGAAGCATGCAACACCTTGAGCCTTAAGACTACAAAAGCCTTGCAGAATGAACTGCCCTAAACACTCACCCCTAAACCCTAAACCCTCAGCCCTCAACCCTCAACCCTCAACCCTCATCTCTCAACCCCCAACCAAACCCTAAACCCTAAACCCTAAACCCTAAACCCCAAACCCTAAACCCTAAACCCTAAACCCTAAACCCTAAACCCTAAACCCTAAACCCTAAACCCTAAACCCTAAACCCTAACCCTAACCCTAAACCCTAAACTTTACCCTAACCCTAAACTGGCCCTAAACCCTAACCCCTACTGCAAGCAAGGCCCCCCTGGGAATCTGGTGCCCAGCTGGCTTGGCACCCAGCGGCAGAAGGCTCAAGGTTGCCCCAATGTACCCTAAACCTCAGGGTTGTGTAGGGTTTCGGGTTTACCTTGGCACCTCGACGCAAGCCCCGAACTCCAATTCAAAACCACTAAACTCTTAATCTGCGAACTTCAGAGCATACCCTAAACCCCTAAACCCTCTAAACCCTATAAGCCCCATAGACCCTATAAACCCTACAAAGCCCTATACAGCCCTCTAAGCCCCAGAAACGCTATAAGCCCCAAGCGGCCCTTAGCCTGGAACCCCAGAGCCGAATCTTCGCCAGGCTCTCCCCATAAATTCAGGTTTTTTGGGGATGATTAAGGCTTTTTAGGAATAAGTAAGGCCATTTAGGGATAAGTAAGGCGGTTTAGGGATAAGTAAGGAAATGTAGGGAGAAGCGGAGAAGCCTAATTAGGGAAAATTAAGCCGAATTCAGGTAGAAACCCTGTAAACCCTACAAACCCTGTAAATGTGCAAAACCTAAAGACCCTACCTAAGCCCTCAAACCCCCAGACCCGAATCTTCTACTGCTATTGCCCATCCAAGGGGATCTACTATATAGTACCCCTAAATAGTACCTTATACTGCTATTGGGGCATTCTTAGGAACCCTTCAGGGGATCTATTTCTTTGGATCCTCCCAGGGCTCTGGGTTTTGAGGTCCCTGAGATCCTGGTCGATCCGAGCGGCGAGCTCGAGCTCAAAGGCCGGCCGTGTGGTTCTTGGTTTTTTGGGCCTCCCTCCCTCCCTGAACCCGAAACCTGAAACCCTAAACCCTAAACCCTAAACCCTAAACCCCAAACCCCAAACCCCAAACCCCAAACCCTTACATCCATCAGGGTTTGGTGGTTTCGGGCTTAGGTGACCTCCAAGAACCCCAAACCCGAACGCCTTACACCCGAGGATCCCAAGCACCCAACCCCAAACCCCGAAAACCCACTCCTCCCCCACCCCCCCCTTCCCCGGGTTTAGGGTTTAGGGGTTTAGGGTTTAGGGTTCGGGTTTAGGGTTTAGGATTTAGGGTTTGGTTTGGAGGGTTTAGGGTTTAGGGTTTAGGGTTTAGGGTTTAGAGGGTTTAGGGTCCCCCTTCCAGATCACTGCTGGAGGCGTCTCCATGGACACAGCGTCGCACGACGTGACTGGTGGACTGAAGGCTGGCGTTGCTTGGGGCGTTACAAGGGTTTGGGGTCTAGGGTCTAGGGGCCACTCTAGGGCTCTAATGTCGGGTCCTGGGTAGGAGAACTTTTTGGGGTGTTTTGGCATTTGTACGACTCTCACCATGAAAGCATCAAGCCCGCCCCCTGCATTTTTTCGTTGCCACATCCAAGGAAGTGGGAAGCATCCATCTACATATCCTTTCTCAGGGGCTTTCCTAATCAATAACCCTCAACTACGGTTATCCTTGTTGTAGGAACTCCACAGAAAGATACCCCTATACCTCGATGTCCAGACCCCGGGTTAGACAGCCCGGTGTTTGAGGATTAAGGGTTTGAATTCTGCAGAGCTTCCTTTCGCTCTAGAGTTTAGGGTGTATACAGGGCAGGTGATGTGTGTGGAGGCGGTAGGTAGGCTTACAGAATATTTGTAGGCTTGGGCTAGTGTAGCGTTATGTAGCGTTTATATGGTTTCTGGTATGACTTACGGGGCTTGGGACGGTTTATAGCCCTATACCCTAAGCCCGTAAACCCGAAGCCTAAGTTTCGTCTTTAGGGGTATGGGCTCTATAGGGGTTCAAGGCGTTCAAACCCGAAACCCGAAAAGGTTTAGGGATTTCGGGCATAGGTGTCTGTGATTCACCTTGGGTATGGAGTTTGAGCCTTATAAACCCTAAACCCTGAACCCTGAACCCTAAACCCTAAACCCTAAACCCTAAACCCTAAACCCTAAACCTTAAACCCTAAACCCTAAACCCTAAACCCTAAACCCAGGCCAAGCTGGAAAGCGCCGCTGCTGTCCTTTCGGGCGCGCCCAGTGTGCAGGCGCGGCTTAGGGTGGGCAGTCGGGCGCCGGGAGTTTGAGGGTTTCAGGGTTTTAGGGGGTTTCAAAGGGGGTTTTCAGGGGTTAAGGGGGGCTTTAGGGGGGCTTCGGGGGGTTTAGCGGGTTAAGTGGCCTTTTTGGGGTTTGCAGTTACGACCTTAGAGAGTTATTCACATCCCCAGACCCTAAGCCCTAAGCGCTAAGCTCTAAACCCTAAACCCTACACCAGGCGGTTTACAGGGGGTTTGTAGGGGGTTCAGGGGGGGGGGGGGGTCCCAGCGAAGTTCCCTATCTTACACCCGGACATCCACAGCACGTCGAAGACGTCCTCCAGAGAAGGCCTTACTTCCTATCTTCGACTTCTTCTCAAGCGGTTTAGGGTTTAGGGTTTAGGGTTCAGGGTTGGGTTTAGGGTTTAGGGTTTGGGGTTTAGGGTTTAGGGTTGTGGGGCTGCATGGGGCTGCATGGGGCGAGCTTAGGGCTTAGGGTTTGGGGTTTAGGGGTGTTCATGACGAGAACAGGGTCCAGGGTTTTTGCGATGGCTTTACACTAAGTTGCTTCCTAAGGCCCTAAGCCCTAAACCCCCTAAACCCCTAAATAAAGCCTAAACTTCCAAACCCCTAAACCGTTTAAACCCCCTAAACCCCTAAACCCCAAGCCCTAAACCCTATAACACCAAAACAGCAGGCAGTCTACATCGTCAAGGCCGGCAGCAACGCGGCCGCGCAGGCGAGTTCCGGCCATCCCTCAGTTTCGTTAGGGCGACCGGAGAATGTCCCATTGCACCCCTAGACTAAAGCTCACATAGCCTGCGTTCAAAGCAGGTTTGGGATTTATGGGGTTAATGCAGGGGTCGGAATAATCACTAGTAGTGTTACCTTATGGGTCCCTTTATCACAAAACTACAATACCCCCCCCCCCCCCCCTCACAAAAAAAAAGAAAGAGTCCAATTATCTAGGCCCCTATGCTATGGTGTTCGGGGATGTGCGCACGGTGCCCAGCCACATCTGCGACCCCTGCTGCCACTAAGGGATTTCGGGGCTCAGAGGAACAAGGGTTTAGGGTTTCGGGTTTAGAGTTTCGGATTTAAGGTTAGGGCTTAAGGTTAGGGTGTTTAGGGTTTAGGGTTTAGGGTTTAGGGTTTAGGGTTTAGGGTTTAGGGTTTAGGGTTTAGGGTTTAGGGTTTAGGGTGTGACCATGGCCTGGCAGCCGTTCCATCTCGAGAGCCTTCGATGCAGATTTCTTGTCATTACTGTTTCTTGTTGAGGGCCCCTAGGCATGAAGGTGTTTGTGTTTAGGGCTTAGGGTTTAGGGTTTAGGGTTTAGGGTTTAGGGTTTAGGGTTTAGGGCTTAGGGCTTAGGGTTTAGGGTTTAGGGTTTAGGGTTTAGGGTATAGGGCGTCATGTGAAGTCGGCATCTGGAATACAACAGCACCTCCGACTCTAAGCCAGAGCTTCTACAAGTTAGCTTTGGGGGTCTCGGGACGCATAGGGTAAGTGCTATGGGGGGCCTTGAAAAATCAAATAACTCGAATAGGGTTTTGGGGGGTTAGTATAGTAGAATTTTCGTGGGACCATATGGGAATACTATAAGTACTTATTTCAAGCCCTATAGCACATGCCCCCACACGCACTGGCTGCATTCGAGCTGCCCTCCGGTCTCTGCTTCTGGGGCCATGCACGACTTTCACGCAGAAGGCAAGCGGCTCCTGCAATTTCAGAGCCTTGACTTGTTTAGACTTGTCGACGCTAGGATCGAAGGCCCTGAGCTTTTTTTTTGTTAGAGACGGTGGGTTGCTCTACATGAGGGCTTCTGGTACCCCAGGCTATATGGTCAGTGCTCTTAATCATGGTCCTTTTTTGGGTGCCCTAAAAGAATTGGGGCCACCTTGTAATAAGGCCCCCAAAAGGGAACCGCATTTTAGACAAATGGCCGTATAAGACGTACGATAGGAAAGAACTCGACAAGGACTGTCCTTCAGTCTAGTTTCCTGCTCTTGAGAGCCGAGGAAGGACTACCCCCACAACTCATTTCGCGACTGCGACGCGGTCTTCTGCCACCCGCGCACAGGTGCCCCCGTTTCAGGATAACCCTAAACCCTAAACCCTAAACCCTAAACCCTAAACCCTAAACCCTAAACCCTAAACCCTAAGCCCTAAGCCCTAAGCCCTAAACCCTAGGTCCCTCAATGCAATGCTACTTTTGTAGGTGTGGGCTTAAACCTCCGGAGCAGCCGGGGTTAGGGTTTAGGGTTTAGGGATTAGGGAGTTCATCTACAGTTCCCATGCGGGCGTTTCCGAAACTAGGCGTACCTTATGGGGTCCGCATGATAAGGGGATCTTACGTACCGTTTGCCGGGGGGTCTATATCAGACGTCCCTCATGTGCGGAAACCCTCATGCGCCAATGTAGATGCCTAGATACGCATCATACGTCGTGTCAAGGTCACCCCAATGATTTAAATCTGGGCTGCACGATCGATGGGCGAGATTTTTCTCAGTTATACTTTTTGCAAGTCGGAAAGTCTTGTACCAAGCCGTTTGGCCAATTTGTTGTTCGAGGCGATTCTGGACTTTAGCAGAAGTTGTCGACGCACTCGGGTTGCAACATCGATACAAGGAGGGGCCCCCTTACTTTACTAACTATAGTTCAGGGACTTATCACCTAAGCTAGGATCCTTATAACCCAAGTTAGGACCCTTATAACTCTACTTATAACAAGGGGGGCCCCTCCTTGTATCTTGTGAGGGCTGCCCCGAGGCTTAACTGTGAGAGTGTCTTACGACCTACGAAGCACATTCGCTAGAGCCTCCTTGAAATACATGTTTCAATTGTTTGTAAACCAGTCTTGGTCTTCTGATTCTCAGGGGCAGAGTTCAAACATTGGTGTTCTTGAGCGCACGGCACATGGGAGAGTGGGCTGTGGGCAGGCGCTGTTCTCTTCGTAGGCAGCCACGTGGCCGCCAAAGATGCCGCGCCACTTAGCTTGTCCAAAACAGACATGTTCTTTTCTTATCAGCTATCAGTTCTTAGTAGGTAATTGGAGATATGAGGTACCTTATATCCCCCTGATTCCCCCTTATTAAGGCCCAAGAAGGGTCCCAGAAGAGGGCCTTCAGGTTCAGAGGCTCAGGACCTACGGACATTGGCACCTTGTATATCTCCCTTTCAGGCATGAAAGACCCTCAAAGGGCTACAAGCAGACAAGGTGCCTACATTCCTAGTTTCCTTGTTGAAAACACGGCAAAACGAAACTAGGTAGGCCCTTGGGCCATTTTAAGGCATATTTTCAGAGGGTTTAGGGGCCATCCTAGGCATCGTCTTCAGAGAAGCTCCCGCATCCAGCTTCAGGGCTTCAGACTTTGTTCAAGTCGCCCAAGCCCTGAAATCCAAAAGCCCCAACCTAGCGACGAACTCAAAGGGTTAAGGGTTTAGGGTTTCGGGTTTAGGAAATACCTGTTCCAACGCAGGAAGTAGGGTTGAGGATTTAGGGTGCAGGGTGTAGGGCTTATGTCGAGTCCGAGCGCCAAGGTTTCTGGAGGAATACCACATCCGGCACATTGTCAACTGCCAGGACCAGTTGAAACTGGGGTTTAGGGTTTAGGGTTTAGGGTTGAGGGTTCAGGGTTTAGGGTTTAGGGTCTAGGGTTTAGGGTTTAGGGTTGAGGGTGGATTCTGGCTTTTTTGGTGGCCATGTTGAGGTTTGATTCCATATGTGGGGGTTTCCCAAGGAGCTGTCTCCCTTTCTGGGGGAGTTCCTATGTAGCGCGCTTTGGGAAAAAATTGTTGGGAAACGTCGATGTCGGGGATCCGCTGCCGAATCAACCGAATTCCCTCCGAAGAACTGTGGTCAACCTCAAACTGGCCCAGCTTCCCGGAAGCCTGCACCTGACAAGGGTTTATAGGTTTTCGGGCTTTCAGACGCCCCTAAACCCACCCCAAAGTCAAACCCGAAGAAGCCGGACCCTAAACCCCAAACCCTAAACCCTAAACCCTAAACCCTAAACCCTAAACCCTATTCCCTTGAAGGAGCCATCTTCACCGAACTACTTCGAGGGCGACCCTGGCTTCGAGTACTTCCGCTTCGACGTGGCCAACTGGAAGCGCGAGGTGCGCGTCGAGCCCTTGGCGTGAGTATAGTTTAGGGCTTTAGGGATTGGGGTTTAGGGTTTAGGGTTTAGGGTTTCGGGTTTCGGGTTTAGGGTTTAGGGTTTAGGGTTTAGGGTTTAGGGTTTAGGGTTTAGGGTTTAGGGTTTAGGGTTTAGGGTTTAGGGTTTAGGGTAGTTGTGATTCGGGCTCTAGGGTTGACTGGGTAGCCCTAAACCCTAAACCCTAAACCCTAAGCCCTAAACCTCTTGGGATAGTTGGCACTTTCCCTTATTGGGTTTAAGAGGATGATATGTAGGAATGCTTTTCCGAGGCTTCGGAGGGCGCATCCGATTGTAGGGCCTAGTTCCTCACCGTTTTCTGGCCTTCCCAGACCCCTGGGAGGATCCAAAAATTAGATCCCCTGAAGGGTTTTGTAAGAAAGTCCCCCACTAGCAGTGTAGGGCACGATTTGGGGGGGTCCTGGCTATCTAGTAGGTCCTAAACCCTAAACCCTAAACCCTAAACCCTAAACCCTAAACCCTAAACCCTAAACCCTAAACCCTAAACCCTAAACCCTAAACCCTAAACCCTAAACCCTAAACCCTAAACCCTAAACCCTTACCCGAGGAGACAGCGCAAGATGCCCAGCACTACGTCTCCTCGGTGCTTGAGTTCCTGGATGCGGCCCTGGACAGCGGCTCTAACGCAGCTTCGAAGCAGGATGCACCTGAAGGGCAGATAGGGCTTAGGGTTTGGGGTTTAGGGTTTGGGGTTTAGGGTTTGGGGTTTAGGGTTTGGGGTTTAGGGTTTCGGGTTTAGGGTTCAGGGTTGAGGGTTTAGGGTTTAGGGTTTAGATTATACCGGTCCCTGTCACACCCTAAAGCCCCAAAACCCTGATCCCTCATCTCGAAGCTCTCTGGCCCACAAGACCCTCAAGTTCCCGAACCCCCTCTAAACCCCCATGGGTTTCCCTACTACCCCGCCCTTAGGCTTCCCCCCGAAAAAGCCGTAATGATGCTGAATTATCCCTATCTAGCCATAGGGGGGGGGGGGGGGGGGGGGGGGGGGGGAACCTAGGGGGGGTAGAAAAGAGGGGGGTAGTAGGGGAACCCGTCACGGAACACCACCTCCATGCGCGAGCCTAGTGTTGGGTTTAGTGTGAAAGAGTCAGGCTTGAAACCTCGAACCGACCCTCAGCCCCACAAGGTTTAGGGGTTTAAGGCTTATGGATGTTTAGGGTTTATCGGGTTTAGGGTTTAGGGTTTAGGGTTTAAGGTTTTCAAGAGCGCCCGTGAAGGGGCTGAGAGCCTCAGGTGCTGGTGCATTGCCACGCAGGCGCGCATCGCGCAGGCACCACGGCTGTGGCGTACCTGATGCACGCGCACGGTATCAGCCCTTCAGCTGCAGCTGTCGTTAGGGTTTAGGGTTTGGGGTTTAGGGTTTAGGGTTTAGGGTTTAGGGTGTAGGGTGTAGGGTGTAGGGGTTAGGGTTTAGGGTTTAGGGTTTAGGGTTTAGGGTTTAGGGTTTAGGGTTTAGGGTTTAGGTCCTAAGCCCCTGAACCCTACATACCCCGCATCCCTGAACTTACACGAACTGCTTTAAGATATCCCAAAATATCCCCAAATAGGTCCACGCCCTTTATTGAGGGCATTCTTGCATGGTTCAGGTAGCCCTAAACCCCTAAACCCCAAAGCCTAAACCCCAAACCCTAAGCCCTAAACCCTAACTCCTGAAACATCCCCAAAATCTTTCTTGCTCGCCTCGAGGCTCTACGCAAGCGATCCGGAGAGCCCGGCAGCGACGCCCGGCCCCACGCCCGGCGCTGGATAGGGTTAGGGTTTAGGGTTTAGGGTTCAGGGTTTAGGGTTTAGGGTTTAGGGTTTTGGGTCTAGGGTTTAGTGTTTCGGGAACTGCGAACTTTGAAGGGGTATAGGGACCCCTAGAAGGGAGCCTGAATCTTAGTCCCCTATACAAGCCCTGTATATTGTAAAAGTCCCTATTTACATAAGTAGCCCCTACATTACCCCTAAAGTCCGTTATAAGGGTCCCTCCTGTTCTTTCGTCCCTTGAGAATGGCGAAGGGTTCTGTAACTGTTGTATGGGCGTTGGGCTTTCTAGGGTGTTGTTGGGAGCCGCGGTGGGGGCATCCGCGTGAGATGTGCTGCTCGAAGATAGCATGGGACCTAGTACAAGCACCCTAAACCCTCAGCCTGAGCACCCTAAACACTCAACCCTAGACCCTAAACCCTCAAGATCCCTCACTAAACCCTAGACCCTAAACCCTCAAGATCCCTCAGCCCTCACGATTCCAGTGAGGTGATCCATCCCATCGGCCGGCTCGGAGAGCTCCTGCGGCTGCTGGAGCGTTGTGGGGGGGCTGGAGGGGAGGTTTACGGTTTAGGGTGGTTTAGGGTCTTTGGTCTAGGGTCTAGGGTCTAGGGTCTAGGGTTCAGGGTTTAGGGTTTAGGGTTTAGGGTTTAGGGGTGGTGAGGGGAGAGATGCATGGTTTAGAAGAAGTGGGTGGGGGTTCATCAAAATTTGTGCTTCCGGCGGCGAAACCGCGAACAATTGCCACCAAACCTCGCCAGACCCTTAGGCTCTCAGGAAGTCCTCAACGCCTAAGCCTAAACCCTAAACCCTAAGCCCTAAGCCCTATAAACCCTAAACCTAAAACCTAAAACCTAAACCCTAAACCCTAAACCCTAACCCCAAACCCTAAACAACCCTAAACCCTAAACCCCAAGCCCTGAACCGTTGGTTTCTGATCCTTGTTCCGCAGGACGGTGCCCGACCTCGGCGGCGGTGCAGCTGTGGGCTTCAGTAGACCCTCGGCCTCCAAGCCTACCGCGACCACCCCAGTAAGTACCTGGGTTTAGGGTTTAGGGTTTAGGGTTTAGGGTTTAGGGTTTAGGGTTTAGGGCTCCAAGCCCACCTAAGACACCCCAGTAAGTACCCTTTAAGACGCTCCTACCTCTATTCCCTCGTTTTAGGTTTTGGGTTCCGCTACCAGACCCTTAAAGGGTACCCTTTGTATCCTCCAAGCCTACCTGGTACTACCTCATGCCAGGATGGGCTATTCGGCCCTAGAATCCCCATTGTTAACCTCATAAAGGGCCTTTGTAAGGGGGGTTTAGGTATAATAGCCCTTGTTGGTAATTGCCCTTTAAGACACTACGAGGGCCCAAAGCTTATTTCCTTTTGTGGGGGGTTTAGGGTTCCCTTCGAAGACCCTTTAAACCACAAAGGGTACCCTGTTATTCCTCTAATGCCCGAAGGGAAGCGTGAGGTGCGCTTTGAGCTTGGCATGATGTTAGGGCTTTAAAGGGCGTAGTGCCTTCGACCCCAGTCACTGTTTCTTGTGTGCTGGCTCTAGGAGCCCATCCATTAGGTACTCAGTAGGGAAGCAGCTCGCAAGACGTCAGCACTACATCCATGCCCCAGGCCACGACCGGTATGAAACTTTCAGCATCTGCAGGCCCAAACCCGACAACCCCATTTCAAGCCCAAAACTCGAAAGTCCGTCTGTCTTGGAGAACTCGTGCATAGCATCATCTTTTCTACGGCGAAGGGGTCCACGGTTTAGCATCTAGGTGTGTGTGGGAGACCTGAAGCTTGGACATCAAGGAAGGGGTGTTGGCCCTATTGCAGCTTTGAGCTTTCTTCCTTCCTGACCCTAAACCCTAGTTACCCTAGCTACCCTAGCTACCCTAGCTACCCTAGCTACCCTAAACCTGAAACCCTAAACCCTGAAACCGGGAGTGTCAAAGAACAAGCTGAGAAGGTGCTTCTGGCCAACCTGGTGCTCGTGTTTCTGCAGCCGGGACCTGAGATGACGGCCTGGGAGTCGGGAAGTCTTTGTGGGCTTTTAGAGGTTTACCTTGGGAAGCTGGCGCTTGCCTCTTCTCCCTTCCTGCCCCCCCTGCTTGCTTCCTCGCATTGCCAGGTCAAGTCCTGGGCCGAGTACGGCAGCTGATGCACGAACGCTGCTTGGCTGACTGCGAGCATATGAGGCTGCACCCAGGAGGGAAAGGCTGAAGGACGCTTAGGAGCACTGCAGTCACATGTCCGTGACACACCGTGAAGTGTTCAAAGCATCCTGGCACCCACTTCTTCCTTTCCGGCTGCTGGCAATGTTTCTGCGCATCGGCGAGAGGAGCGCGAAGTGCTACAGTGATGATTATGCGAAGCTCGTGACCGAGTATGTGGAAGCCTTCAAGAAGCTGGAGCGGCTGAGAAAGAATAGGGAAAGCAAACTAGGCGAGCTCCAGCAACAGTTTTCCGCAGCAGAAGATTCGCAGGAGCAACTACTTCGAGTCTTGTGGAGCAACTGTCAACCAGCAAAGCGCCAAAAGACGTCTTCAATGCCCCGCCATTGGCAGCTCTTTCTTGACACCGCACGGGAGGAGATGGAAGCATGTAGCTTTGCCGAGATGCAAGATGGGGAGTCCTGCATGAAACTTGCAGCATATGTTTGGGCAACGCTGCTGTCCGAATTGCAGCCAATGTATTCCTCTCCTGCGCCTTGGTACGCCTGGCGCAGGGCATTCACGGCGCTGCGCCAGAAGCGTTGCGGTGACGGAGAAGCTTGTGGTGACCGGCTTATGAAGCAGCAGCAGGAGCTTGAGACTTTGCGCGCAGAGAATGCGGATCTCAAGAGGCAGCGGGGCATCCCAGCGCCGGAGGATGCACGATCAGGCATCCCTGATGGCAGCGCCGGCAGTGTGTCCTCGATCTTGAGCCAGGATTCCTGGTTTTCGGTGCATCCATCGCGCACAAACGGGGAGCCAGGCTGCTTCATGCTGGATGCCATTTTTAAGACGAGGCGCTACGGCATGGACTTCTTCATGATGGGCAAGGATCTCCTGGCGGGCTCGGAGGTTGTGGCTGCGGACGATCGCACCATGTTGCGTGTTGCAAAGGCGCCGGAGGTCCGCAACGGCTCCCATGTCGTGGACTTGTGTGCCGGGGATGCTTTGCTACAGGTGACTCCAGACCATCGCATCGTAACTTGTGACCCCGCTCAGAATTGCAAAGACCTCCGCAGAGCAGGCAGCTTGCAGCCAGGAGACATTGTGGTGCTCTCAGGGGAGCCAGTTGCGCTCACAAGCGTGGAGACAAGGTCAGAGCAATGCAAGGTGTTGAGGATCGTCTTTCAGCCAGATCTGCCAGTTGCGACCTACTCACTTGCTCCCAGCATGTGGAGCCAAGGCCACCCACGATCGTGCACGCGCCGTGGCGGCATGCGCCGTGGCGGCATGCGCCGTAGGGGTCAGCCGGGGACTGGCGGGGCAGCCCTGGCAGCCACTGATTCTCGTAGCATCCCTGGCACAGCTCCGGGCGAGTACTCAGAGTGATAACGTAGCAGAACTTTCAGCTGTCGAGCCCACATTTTGTGGCGATGCGCTTCCGGGCATGCATGCACCTTCTCAGGTGCTGAGAGCACGGCCGTCATGGCGATCGGCCAGTGCCTGTGCAGCCCTCTGCGTTGATGCCGAATGCGCTCGAAAGCGCCGTGCACGACGTCACATGTCCAGCTTGGGCGATTATAGGCCCTACAATCCCCATAATCAACTGTATAAAGGAGTTATAAGGGTATGAGGGCCTTATGAAAGAGTTATACGGGTATAAGGGCCTTCTTAAGGGGTTATAGGGGTATAATAGCCCATCCTGGGTGATGCTCAGTGCCAGCGCTCGAGCTGCTCATTTCTCCGGGGCTCGGCGGACAAACTCCTTGGTAGCCCAATCATCCCCTTTGGCCCCCTTTTCTTGGGTGTTCTCGGGCCCCTTAGAATTCTAAAGTAATCAACCCCAAAGTTACCCATACTATGGTCGGGTTGCTGGGCTATCAAGAAGGCTCTGTTTCTGATGAGTGTACAGTTTCGAATCCTCAACCGACCAACGCAGCCTCTGCCAAAAGATGTTGGCGTGCACGCAAGTGCGCTTGAGCCCAGCTGACCTGAGTAGCCCGTATCAGTCTGCCATGAGCCGAAGCAGCGCAGCCTGAGAAGCATCAATGCACCACTGCAGATTCTGCCCCTAAACCCAAGCCCCCGAAACCCCAAACCCCAAACCCGCAACCCCAAACCCCAAACCCCAAACCCCAAACCCCAAGCCCTAAACCCTAAACCCTAAACCCTTAACCCTTAACCCTTAACCCTAAACCCTAAACCCTAAACTGTGCTGAAGAGCTGTAAGGTTTGACTTCTTCACCAGCTGGCGACTCTTAGCAAGGACCTTGCTGCCCTACTTGTACCTGCCGTTTGCGATGGTTGAAGCAGAGCCTTGGCAAAATTAAACCCTAAACCCTAAACCCTAAGCCCTAAACAATAAATCCTAAACCCTAAACCCTAAACCCTAAACCCTAAACCCTAAACCCTAAACCCTACACCCTAAACCTCAGAGAATGTTTCAGTCATGGGGTTAAGACTCCTACCCCTAAGATGTTCCCTTAACATACTCCTAGTCCTTCTGATAACCTTCACGTTTCCTTAGTTGATCTTGAATTAGAAGTTTAAGAGGGTACCCAAACCCAAGGGTACAACCTCAGGTCCGAGGCAGAGTCCCAGGAGAAGCCCCTACCTTGCAGAGCAACCCATGTACTAGACTCAACCCTAAACCCTAAACCCTAAACCCTAAATACCCTTGTAGAAAGGGTAACTCAAACCCACGGGTACAACCTCAGGGGTCCGAAGTAGAGTTCTGTGATTCAGTTGCTGTGACACGGGCCGGCCGGAGGCTGCCCAGGCTGCAGCTTTGTTTTGAAGGTGGACTGGAACAAAAAGTTTGAGGTTTAGGGTTTAGGGTTAGGGTTTAGGGTTTAGGGTTTAGGGCTGCCACAGCTACAGGACCGGAAGCACCACAGGAACATCCTGCTGCCCAGACTCATTCGACTGGCGCGGCCCTCAGGGAGAAGCTGCCATGGCTGGAGCCAGTTGTTCTTTGCTTGGGGCCACCCCGAACCTAAACCCTACACTCGAAACCCTAAACCCTAAACCCCAAACCCTAACCCTCAAACCTTGGCTTTAGGGCATCGTCTTGGACTTCGGAGGTTCAGTGCTTAGGGCAGCTTAGGGCTGGTATGGGGCACAAGCTTGGCAGGTTCGAGGAGCACGGTTCCCTCTCAAGCCGTCATAAGCCCTGGGACCTACTATGAAGACCCTAAGCCCTATGCTCCTGAAAACCATAAATCCTTCAACCCTCAAGATCCCTTTGAGGTGGTCGAAAGCTGAGCGTAGCCAAAGAAGCTGGAGAGAGCACAAAGCTCATCCGCCGATCTGAGACCTGCGGCGAGAAGAAACGAAGGGGTTTACTCCTTACCTTCTTCGGGTTGACCTGACGACTTTGCTATAGAGTGCAGACCATAGAGGGCCCGAATTTCGGGTTTGGGAAAATTTCCCCCCCTGCATAAACCGCCACAACACTCAACACCTCGGCAACCCCTTGCAGCTTAAACCTTCAGAATGGTCTCAGGTTTGAGGCCAATTATAACCCTTCAACCCTAAGCCCTAAAGCCTTACAGGTTTCGGGTTGAGGGTTTTTTCGTTCAGCCTCCACCCCGACTCTCCCGAAGTTGTAGGACTTGTCGGGATGATGAGGCTCTACTTAGGGTTTAGCGTGGCCAGCGCTCAGAGCTTTTGGGCACGCCACTCAATGGGTTCCAGAGTAAACGAACCTTGGACGGTTTATTCTATTTGGGGTGTAAAAGGGGTACCCCTATTTTGGGAAATGCCCAGATGAACTCTACTTCAGGGGATTCTAGGGTTTTGCAGAAGATGGTCCCAGTTTTTTGACGGGTTCATTGCCTGCAAAAGTCCGAGGGAGTTCCAAGCCTGCCAGCCGAATCTTCCACCGTGCCCATTGCATGCAGGCGTTGCGTGGCGTTGCTCCACAACAGGGTCCACGGCCCAGCTTTGCCCTGTCCGGATCATCTTGCTCGACGGGGGATCTGCGTTGCTTTCGGAGTGGGATAAACCTAGGCACGCTGTAAGAGACGTTCGAAAAGAATAACCACATTGAGGCACCCCTAAGGTCCTACTTAGAGGTTTTTGGGGTCGGGAGCTTGAAGATTACGGGCTTGGGCCGGTGAACTAAAATGCCCCTGGACCTCGAACTCAGGACTCCCCCCAACTCCTCAAACCCAGCATCTTGGGCCGAAACCCGTGAACCCTAGGCTCTAAACTTTGCTTAGCCCGGATCAGGGTTTGGCAGTAGGGTTTAGGGCTTAGGGCTTAATGCTGGTAGGGCTTAGGGCTTTCGGGGCTTAGGGCTTTCAGGGCTCAGGTTTAGGGTTTAGTGTTTAGGGTAGGGTTTCGGGGGGGATGCCAGATTGTAGGAAGGTCGTGATCGCGAGTTAACCTAGAACAGGGCATGGACCGCGGACATTGAGGCCACACTCCTCTGTGGTGCGCTACTGTAACTTTAGATCCTTAGCCTTTTTTGGGGTTTATTGGGTTTCTCAGTAAGGCAGCTAAAATTTTAACTTTATAGCTACCCTACTAAGTGCAGCCAGAGTCGGTTGAGGATCCTTTGGATGCCTGGGTTGGGATCGTAGGCTCCAGCAAACGGGTTCCCCGCCAAGTGTCTGAGACCTAAACCCTAAACTCTAAACCCTAAACCCTAAACCCTAAATCTTAATCCCTAAACCCTAAACCCTAGACCCTAAACCCTAAACCCTAAACCCTAAACCCTAAATTCCCACCCAGGCCTGCTTAGGCCGTACCCACCCTTCTCTAGGGTGCCTGGACCCAGAAATCACCCGACAGCGATTAACACCATTGCTTGGACTTCCTGTGCAAGCCTAAAGAGTTGTGTTGAGCGTGAGCTGCACCTCCAGTGCCGGTGCAGTACCCCGCCTGGGGTACCCCGCCCCCCTTCTCCGATTCTCAAGTATTATTAAGAAACCCTCCCCCCCCCCCTCCCCCCCCCTCCTCCCCCCCCCCCCCCCCCCCCCCCTACCCAACCGTTCAAAGGATGGGGGTGGGAAGTGGGAATTTAGGGCGTTAGCCCGAAACCCTAAAAGGAAAAAAGTTGGGTGGATGCCTGCGTAAGCAGGGGGTGGGAAAAATAAAACAACCCAACCTTTCTGGTTGTGGTGGCTCCAACTTCAATATACGCCGCCGCGACATATGCCGCCCCCTCACACCCCCTGGGTGTGTTGGGGCGCCATCTCCGCATGACATCTACTGCCGCGGCGCGGCGAGACGCCCTAAACCCTAAACCCTAAACCTTAAACCCTAAACCCTAAACCCTAAACCCTAAACCATAAACCCTAAACCCTAAACCCTAAACCCTAAACCCTAAACCCTAAACCGTAAACCCTAAACCCTAAACCCTAAACCCTAAACCCTAAACCCTAAACCCTAAACCCTAAACCCTAAACCCTAAACCCTAAACCCTAAACCCTAAACCCTAAACCCTAAACCCTAAACCCTACCCAAAAGAACTGCATGGGTAGGGTTTAGGGTTTGGGGTTTGGGGTTTGTTTGGGGTTTAGGGTTTAGGGTTTAGGGTTTAGGGTTTAGGGTTTAGGGTTTAGGGTTTAGGGTTTACACACGGCCGAAGGAACAACCTTGCGACGACGGTGAGCTGATCTTGGAGAAGCTGAGTTAGGATCATAACACTAGTGTGCACACAGTTCCTTAGCAGCAAAGACGCTGAGATCACCTGTCTTACATTTCATAGTGCAGCACAAGTTCAGATCGGTTTAGGGTTTAGGGTTCAGGGGTTCTGCGGAACACCTGCCTGGAAGCTTCGGATTTTGAAGTGTTTGCTCTGCGTGCAGCGTGCGGCCATGATGAAGACCTCATGGCAGTTCCTGCGTTGCCGCCGTTCAGTGTGCAAACCCACTAGGGTTTAGGGTTTAGGGTTTAGGGTTTAGGGTTTAGGGTTTAGGGTTTAGGGTTTAGGGTTTAGGGTTTAGGGTTTAGGGTTTTAGGGTTTAGGGTTTAGGGTTTAGGGTTTAAGTAGTAGAGTAGGTAACCTTGAACCTTTTGGGGGGGTAGTCCACTCCCCTTATAATGCCAAAGGTTGACCTTTAGTTCTCCTAGGTACTGGACCAACTAAGCTAGAGCCCAAACCCTCCAATGGCTCACAGACACTGATCGGCGGGAGTTTTCCAAGAAAGGCGCCCTCGAAAAAATAGTTCTCCTGGAAACGACTGCATTTTGACCCGAATCTTAACACCATGCAGTCATGTGCAGCTGGAATGCTCCTTGCCATTCAAATCCCTTTACCCTAAACCTACTTGTCAGTTTGGAGCCTGGTGGTTTTGGACTTGTCGCAGTGAGAAATGGGGTTTAGGGGCTAAGTTTAAGTTTAGGGTTACAAGGGTTTAGGTTTAGGGTTTAGGGTTTTA